TTATCGCAGTGCCTGGCACATGGTAATTCCTCTATTAATGCTAGCTATCCGTAGGTACAGGAAAGCACAGCCTGCCAGGGCCCCAGGCCCCAGGATCGAGCACGTGACTTATAGAGACTCACACCCCCACCCTGCTATGCTGTCTGCGGCCTAGGAGGGATATTTGCCCACGCTGGAGCTTCTGCCGAGAGCGATTCTGTTCTGAGCTAACAATTCCGAAAGGAGACATTGAGAAGCAAAACCCTCCCACACACTGGACACAACTGCTGACAACCTTAAAGGAAATAGAAGTAAATGAATGTAAACACACATGGCAAATATTGTACAGGACATATGCTGTATAAATATTTATAGCAATGTGCTTTGCATTCTTGAGTACACTCTGCCGGTCCTCTGGAGACCAATTTACGAAGAAGGCTTTCCACCAGAATCTCTGGCGGAGCGCTGGGGAGTCAGGCTAAGTGCCAGGAACGCCTGTTTTGAGGACATCCTGACTCCACCAGCCCAAGGCTCTGTATTGATCCTTTTTCTTGCCATGAATTTTGCCTGAATATACCAGCTCGGGCTTCAAGGAGAACAATATTTTAACTGCAAAAAGCTAACCTAAAAGGCGAGGCCAAGCAAAAAATAAAGAAAAAGGGATAAAAAAGAAGAAAGGAAAGGGACAGGCATTGAAAAACTGCTTTCTTTGGTGTAAAGAAATAACAACACGAGGCCTTACGGGCTCCTGCGCTCACCAGGCTCTAAAGGTGTAGACCGCATCACTCAAACACGGTCCCGAAGGCACCTGGCATTTAGAGAACAGACTCAGGGGCAAAAAAGCTGATCTTTAGGAGCAGAGGCACCCAAGGCGGGGTGGGGGGAGGGCTCAGACCCCAGAGCAACAGCAGGGCTCCTTACAGGCAGCGTCTTGCCATCCTCCGCGCACACGCACATGATCACTTCCACGTTCCTCTGCGTGGTCTTGTTGTATTTGTCAAAGTCGCCTTGCAGGAGAGTGATGTAGATATC